TTTTTTCTTTTGGATTTTGCATTTTAATCTTTTGAATAAAGTAAAAAACTTAAAAAAGAAAATTACATTTATTATCATGGCTGTTAGATACTTGTTTTCAAATAGTATTTAATCTGAATACCATTATGGAATCTTAAGAAAAAAAGACATCACTGAGAAGTTTTTCCCTGCAGGAAGGAGTGAAAGGTGTTAAAAAGGAACTGAAGTTAAGGTTCCTCATGGTGCCTTCAGTCTCTCAGAACAACCCTGTCTTCAACTGTGCTTAAGCAATTAGATGTCTTCCTATAGACTCTGATATCATTTAAGAAACATGGCTTAAGTTAATTAGCATTTTAAAAATTCTGGATGTCCTACATGTTTAATAAATGTGGTTTAAAATATCATTTAATATATTATTGCATATTTAAATGTGTTATTTACTTCTTTTAAAATATATATTGTCATCTATTTTTATTTATACTATAAAATTCTTGTTTTAGAATTGTTTGTCAAGAAATGGATAAAGGATGGACATCTACAAAAGGTATATTGTGATATAACCTGGAAGCTGTGGGGGTTTGGATGGGGGATAATTTATGGTTAACAGACTTTTTTACAAATTACAGACTGAAATATCTACCGTTAGTCCTCCTATACTATATTTTAGGGTCAATCTAATTTTACGTGTTCGGGTAAAGACACCATGATGTACATAAATCATAGTTCATACGTTTTGTTAAATATAATCTTTTCTTTTTTTTTATTCTTGGTATCAAGGGAAGTTTACCGTTGGACAGTACACTAATTTTTATTTTGTCTGGTTGATGATAACCAGCATAAACTAAGGCTAGAATACCATTTGAATGGGGGGTGGGAACAGTAAAATTTAATTCTGCCAATTTGGTAGCCTGTGATGGCTCAGCGGTTAAAGACGCAGAGCTTGTCAGCTGAAAAGCTGACAGTCCAGGTTCAAGACCTGAGCGCTGTGGGACGGGGTGAGCTCCTGTTACTTGCCCCAGCTCCTGCTCACCTACCAGTTTGAAAGCAGGGAAATGAGAGTAGATAAATAGGTACCACTTTGGTGGGAAGGTAACAGCTCTTTGTGCATCTTGATACATGGTCATGCTGCCCACATGACCGCAGAAGTGTCTTCAGACAACGCTGGCTCCCTCGGTTAAGAAACGAACATAAGCATTGCCCCCTAGAGACAGACATGACTGGAAAGAAAAAAAACTTTACCTATCTTGTTACATATTCTGTTGCTCTTCATGATAGCAAGAAAAATAATGCCTTTTTTCTCCCCCTTGTGGCTTTGCTGAGACTTAAAGCACAGCTATTGTTTAAGAACAAGCCATTTTTGAGAGCTTCTTTCTCTTTTTAACAGCTTCAACTGATTAATCTAGTTAAATAGAAGGCTCTTTTAACTATCCTAAGACTTGGAATCTCATATCATTCTAAATTTAAGGAATCATTGTAGCTATACTTCTCCCATTATTTTTATATCAAACTTATTTACTTATTTATACAAACTTATTTATATCAAACTTATTTAAAATGCATGTTAAATATTTTAAAAGAATCCAAGCATGTTTTTAAAAAGTGAAGAAAATCCAGGTTGTCTCTTTGCAATAAAAAAATATTTACTTATTGTTTTTATCTTATTGCAGATATTTTTTAAGTACCAGCATGAGCTCTTGATTATTCTGGAAGCATATGTCAGAAGAAATACAAAGAGAAATATTAAGCTTGACTATGTTCATGAAGGGCTACAGCTAAACTATGAAGAGATGGATTCTCTGTTAAGAAGCAAATCTTTGCCAGATGCTGAAAAAGTAAGCATTTTGGGGAAGTGCCAAATATTTGTTAAAAGTATGTGTTGGGAAAGCAAAAATTACCTTCTTTAAAATAGATTCTTCATAGCTTATAATAATAATAATAATAATAATAATAATAATAATAATAATAATAATAATAATAATAACAACAACAACAACAACAACAACAATAATAATAATAATAATAATAATGATAAAGTTGGAAGGGACCTTGGAGGTCATCGAGTCCAACCCCCTGCTCAGGCAGGAAACCCTATACCATTTTGGACAAACGGCTGTCCAGTTTCTTCTTAAAAACTTCCAGTGTTGGTGCATTCACCGCTTCTGGAGGCAGGTTGTTCCACTGGTTAATTGTTCTAACTGTCAGGAAGTTTCTCCTTAGTTCTAGGTTGCTTCTCTCTTTGGTTAGCTTCCACCCGTTGCTCCTTGTCCTGCCTTCAGGCGCTTTGGAAAATAGCTTGACTCCCTCTTC